TTATTATTATTATTATTATTATTATTATTATTATTATTATTATTATTATCCCATGTTTCTTTTGGTGTAGAGCTTGCTTATACGTGGTGGCAACTGAGAAATGCGATGTGTATAGTTTTGGCATGTTGCAATAGAAGTGATAATGGGAAAGCATCCTAGTGAACTACCAACATTTTCTACCGATTACTTGTTGCTAGAAAATGTGGAAGATTGTCACACCCCCAAACCTGAACGGCGGAAACATTCGGGGATGGTTGACTTCATATGTAGTATCACAACAATGTACAATAGTAATCAAAGTACAACATTCATTACATTGATAAAATATAACTTTACATTCGTGTTCAAATCATTGTATATTTGACACCAAAAAGTATAATTAAAAGACATAATTATATGAAACTCTGTCTTCCTCAAAACTGGTGGGTACCTGTTTATCGATTTCCTAAAAATACAAGTAGTTTTGAAAAGAGTGTCAACAATTAATGTTGGTGAGTTCATAAACATGTTTGTAATTGAAATCTGTTATTTAATCCTTTGAAAAATGTAAGTATGTTTTTCCCTAGAAAATCCTATATTTTCTGTTGTATATGTACTTGTGTTCAGAAATAGTGTGATATAGTTTTAAATTCCCATAAAACTATGAAAAATTATGTTTTCTCTGTACTAGAATAGCATACTGTATTTGTACTTGTATGAAAACTTGTGAAATTGTAAATATCTAGATTCACCAATTATAGTTTTATTTATATAAAACTATGTGAGGTTGTTTACTTATTCTTACACTAAACGTATTATTCAATACCAAATTGTGATTTATCATAACCATGCTTGATGACCTAAGTCTCGCCTGAAACATGACGTTCTTCAGGCGTCGAAATATGATACGACAATTGTCACCACAGGTCTGCCGACCTAGCTGTTGCAAGCAACTCTGGTGCGGGATTGTCAGTCCCGTATAGATCTATACACAAGTGTCACGCTCTCCCTCCAGGAGACTCTGGTTATAATTTTCAGGACTTTTGTTTTATACTTGAATAAGTACTTGAAGCGTGTCTCACAAATGCTATATTGACGGTTACGTGTAGAATAATGAAAAATAACTTTGTAATAGATAAACTGTAAATATCTCATAATCTATATTTAATATAATTTATATAGTTATTTTCGTAAGTTATCCTGAATATGAAAAGAAATATGCAAGTTCCATCAACTGTATTGATAAGTATGCATGACTCATAAACTATACCTATTATAGTTTATATGCTTGTTTTTATATGAAATCCTAAACTGGTAAAATATATGTTTATTTTAGTAAAAATAACAATCGTAAACTATTTGAATAAATTTTGTTATTTATACAAGATTTCCTTGTATTTTACTTGTATTTCCCCCCTAAAACATTATAAAAATAGTGAAAATATAGGGGTATAAACTCACTTGATAGGTGGTGATTCGGGCAACGTTTCGTTTCTAGAAAGGAGTTTACTTTATGAAACTGAGAGTTTTTGATGAAAAGTCGGCTTTACGCGGGCAGAGTTTCAGCTAAAAATTGAGGACTTCGGGACTTTGGGGCTTGCTTCAGGTGGTAAGGAGGTTCCAGGGACTTCGGAGGGTTTATAGAGGCTTAAATGAGTGTTTAAGATGAGAGAGGTTTTGGAATTTGTAAACCAAACTCGGAAGCCTCGCATCCTATTTATAGGAGGCTGAGGTCCAGTATTACGCTGGGCGTAATATTCATGTACGCTGGGCGTACAACTGAAAACCTCAGTACGCTGGGCGTAC